CTCTGTCATCATTTTAGGTGGGGGAACTTGCACAATCGGTGGCTGACTAAATACTTTTTTGCCCCACTGTAGCTGCTGTTTACATTTCAAAAGTCTTTATCAGGACAAGCACTTCTAATTGTACTTCATTGTCCTCTCTTGTCTGTAAAGCAAACGCTGACAAAATAAGTCCAGTAAATGCACTTTTATCTTTAAGTTTGGTATTGTAATCCGTCTTAATCTATTTATGTTTTATTCTGTTTCTTTATCATATGAGGGAAAAGTCCTGTCAGCCTTGTGCTGGGGGGCTCTGGTCATCCATGTGTTTTGTTTTAATAGATCTGTTCAGTTTTATTGATATAGCACCACTTACCATCAACTAATCTAGCCTCAAACCACTTCATATTGTAAGGTTAAGACTCTACAGTTTTAATTTAGGACAAATGTTCACTCGGATTGATCGGTGAAATGAATGCAGATGAATGAATTGGTAATTAAAGCTAGGTTTTTGGCCATAACTGATTACATACAGCATATACACTGTATTATGGGTGGACAGATATATATGTTTGGAAATCATAAACCATCAAAGAAAACGCATCTTGAAAGAAAGTCAACGTTATCAAAATAACAACAAACAGGACAGGAAAGACAGGTAAATGGCAGGCCACAAACACCAGTGCCATCTTGACTCAAAAAAATACTTGAGAATTCTTTTAAGAATATTTAACTTTAAATTGGGTAATTTTTACTCACACTAAACAAAAGTTAACTTGGATATTGCATCCCATGTTTTGGTCCTTTCCTGATTACTTATCTGTTGTTACAGACCAAAGTACAAAACAAATATGTACGAGGTTATCTGAACTTCACCAAAACACTCAGTCTGTCACGGCCTGAGGCCAGTAGGAAAACGGACTCTAAGGCAGACAACACTCAGAGGTGCTGGGACTGAGGGTGACAAAGCTTTATTTACAGTGGTGCAATTAATGTAAACAGCGAACGACGGTGAGAGGTGCTCAAAGTGCTCACCATAACTTAGAATTGCTCAACGTAAACAACGAATAACTTGAAAACACTCATGAGAAACTGAGTGCTAGCGGCAACCTAAATAAACTTAACACACGCTAGAAACTCTACTCTGGAGCATGAATTTAGATATAACTTTAGCTTAGAGGCACACTATGATTCATAATACTCTGCTTGGAGTCACACAGTTCTAACTCAGAAATTCACAATCCTTTACTTTGAAACACACATGGCCGACTTGGCATTTCTATGAAACAAAACTAGAAGGAGCACTAGAAGTGTCCGTGGTGAAGCCACGGGGCTGTTGTGGATTGAATGGAGAACCCAACACTGGGAAATCTGGGTGAGGGGAGATGATTATTCTGAGCGCTGGGCAGGAAGGCAGGCAGGCACGGAGAAACTGTAAACAGACCAGCGCTGAAATCCTAACAGGTGACGGCAGCGGCTTGACAACGTCCGGAGGTCCTCTGAGAGTGGAGAAACTGTGAAAGCCCTGACTGACAAAGGTTTGCAGACGATCTGGCGAGGTGTGAGTCTGAGCACTGGTCTTAAGAAGCCGGCAATTCCAATTATGCTCAGGTGCAGCCTGTCAGCATGCTGTGGCGGCTCTGCCTAGGGGTGGAAATGCCGGCCCTGTGGGAAGGCCCAGCACTCACCCGGACCATGACACAGTCATCCTGTCTGTCAGTTGGAATAACCAACAGAAGTCACTGAGCTTAAGCCATGGATATACTATATGTTTTTCTCCAGGGGATTTATTCAATTGTTTTGTGTCTGACAGTCCTTCTATTGATCCACTGCCTTTTCTCTAACATAACCCAAAAGGATGGAAAGAAGCCTCCAGGACCCACACCACTTCCCATTTTTGGGAACTTCCTGCAGCTGTACCTGAAGAAAATACATGTCACGTTACTGGAGGTGAGGAAGTCATTGGAGGAATTTTCTTTCAATGTATCTGATCATTTTAATGTATTTTAAACAAAGATATATGAACATTTTTTGTTGTTTTTAGCTATCCAAACAATTTGGATCTATTTTCACCATCTATCTGGGGACCAAAAAAGTGGTGGTCCTGGTAGGATACAACGCAGTAAAGGAGGCACTTGTTGACTATGCTGAAGTGTTTGGAGAAAGGGATCCGACACCAATTATCGATGAGCATTTTCAAGGACATGGTGCGTAATTAAGACAAGACTTTTGCAAACACATTTGAGTGCGAGTCATAATTAGCAACTATGTATAAGCTTTATCTATATTACTGAAAGTTGTTTCTGTCAAATCAGGTATTGTGTGGGCTAATGATGACACATGGAAAGAGATGAGGCGCTTTTCAATGATCAACCTGAAGGACTTTGGAATGGGAAAGAAAGAATTTGAGGACAAAATCATTGAGGAGTGTCATTACCTTATGGAAGCTTTTAAACAGTTCAAAGGTAAACAGTGAACTGACAGAAACTGCAACTTTTTGATACAAATGAACTTTTTGTAATTTTCTTTGCAGGAGAATTTGATGTCAACCAATCATTAAACAACGCAACTGCCAATATTATCTGCTCCTTGATCTATGGCAACAGATTTGATTACAATGACCTGGAGTTTACATCTTTGGTACATCGTACATGCAGAAACACCACACTTTTGAGGGCCCCATCTGTCCAGGTATATTTTAAAGTTTTTAAAGATTTTGTTTGTAAATTCTAACTGACTTTTATAACTAAGGGGCAGTGCTTTGCTTATGTCTGTGTAGTGATATGCTTTCAAATATTTGCTACTGTTCATTTAACTTTGCTTTCTTTTTAATGACCACTTCCTCCAGGGGCTTTACCTTTTCCAAGTGTAACCACTGACTCATTTTAAATAGTTTAGGACAGCCAAACTACGGACCAGTTGCTAGGTTCGGCAGGGCTACAATAGAAAGCGAGGCAAATATGGAATGAAATGGCTGGAGACAGGAATCTGAGCAGCAACGGTTATTATTTTACACAAAATTAAATAAACAAGACACAAATTCCACATTGACAGTAGTAATGGTAATAATAACAATAATAAGAATAAGCCGGCAAAACAAAAAAAACCAAACAAAAAATAGTCCCTTTGAGCTCAATGTTCAATTGTCTTTTTGTCTTCGGTCATTCGTCATGTCAAAAATTCTTAGTCTAGTTCTTTTTCTCTTTTGTTTGTGGTTTGTGTGTTACCACTTGGGAGTCTCCGTCGAGGAAGAAGAGTAAGTTCCTCTGTAAAGTTCAGTCCGGGCTCAGGCTCGCCATCTCCCTCCGGAGAGAATCCATCGTAATCCAAAATCTTAGTTTCTTCCACACGAACAAGAAAAAAACCTAGCCTGCACAACAATATTAACATTATTGCACACAACCAGCTCCGTTTCTACTCTTGTATCACAGCTATAGCTTTAGTTATTTATCTCTTTTCACATCTCTTTCACATTACCACAGTAATACATTACAAGCATGCTTTGAATATCTCTCTCATTGTGCATGAAATTATTTTAACCACACGTAAAACAACAAATGAATTTCTTGTTCTGTTTTCAACCATGAATTTGTGATTAATAGATATAAACAACAAGATAATAGATTTTTTCAATCATCCTTCAAGTATGCTAAACAAATTCTACCACAAACAGGAAATTACCACTCGCAAATCGGTATGAACAGAAGAAACAACTTTTAGCAACAGACTAACACATTATTATTATTTTTTATCTATTTATTTATTTATTGTCCCGTTTGGATCTTTAGCCATCAGAATTGTTGTTGTAAGACCAAGAAAGATGCCAAGCGGATTTATTTTACCAAGTGGATCATCATGGCCTTGCCATATTGGTCCATTTGATTGACCTTTATTATAATTATG